GCCTGCTCTGGGGGACTCAGAGGTCAGTTTTATACCTATAGCCAATGCCTGCCATGGCCATTTTGCTGTAGTTTTTCTCCTTTTGAGTTTGGGAGAAGGCATGCAGCAAGGAAGTTGGACTACAGGAACTGTAGTGAAGTGTTAGCTGCTTAACTCAAACCCTGATTTTATTTCATCAGTTCACTGAAAGCTTTAACTAGCTGTTATCTGAAATCTAGAGCCTACTGAAATCACCCCAGAGCAGGTTTGAGACTCACCAGATTTTTTTTTTTTTAAATGTAAGAGTTGGAAATCAGCATGCTTGTGTGTCAACTTCTAGAGTGAAGTGTGCAAACAGCAAGATTATGAACAGTTAAAATTGGGCAAGTCTGGGTTTGATTGAAACATTTGATTCTGACCTCTCCTCATTTCCCCACCCCTCACATGCCCAATTCTCAGGGACCCGCACACCTTTATGCCTTCCTTGGGGTCCTCTCGTATGCTGATTTGAGAAGATCGTTCTCTAGATGGAGACAGCAGGTCTAGAATATCCTCATTGTATATCTGAAAGTATTTAAATAGAAGCTCAGAACCATAGCCATGCAGACGTGGGGATGCAGCATGAAGAACAGAGTTAGGCTGAACCTGGCTAACTTTGTAAGACATTGCACATGTCTTATTTGCTAAGACATGCAGACTTAACTTACAATTCCAATTCACAGAACTGAGGCTGTTATTACGGTCTATATCTGCCTATATTCCTGATAGTCTCCTCAGTTATAGAAGTTCCTTAAGCCTGTGCACCCCACTTCCCAAAAGAAGAAAATGTGATCCTGGAGATGCTATTCACTCATCTGGGGCAGATCACAGTAGAGAAAGAAGTGCAATAGTCCAATCCCCATTACAGACTGTGGCAGAAAATGATAGGAGCTGTGTCCCAGGCAGCATGCATACAAAGTTAGACTTAGTAGCTAGATCTGCACACTGATGAGGAAAGGGTGCAGTCCCATCTGGCTTTCATTCATGGAAAGTTATAGGTCCCTTTCTAAAGTCCTTTAAGTTTCCCTTTATACCAGTTCTCCTGGTAC